GCAGAACAAGTAAGAAAAGAAAAATGACAAATGACATAGAATGAAAAGGGAAGAGAACATGGATTGCCTCTCAAAGAGCACACTTTCTATTAAGGCTTTGAGTTATGTATTAATAGGGATCACTCTACATCTTCGAGGTACATAACCTCGACACCAAAAGTTGGTGCCACTATCACAAAAGGGTTTGAGTTATTACGAATGATAGGAAAAAAAAAGTGTTATAATTTTCTTAAGATGGAGGGTACAAGCGCCATTTTGTCTGCTCTTTGGCGACATTTCACAATAGTTGGATGAAATTAGGTTAGAAAAATTAGGAAGTTGAGGAGTATGTTAAAGAATAAAACTATTAAGTGATTTAGTAGAAAAAATTGATAATTTAGGGCTTACTTTATATTTGGATTAATTGCATGTTTGGTCACTGAGATTACAAAAAACGTTCAAGTTTGTTCACTGGAAATATTTAAATTCATTGGTGGTACTTCAGTTTACTGAAAACGTTAACATTTGGTCACTCTCCGTCCAACTTCGTTAACTTTGGTTGATGTGGCAGTCAACTCTCAAAGTTGACCGTTAACTTAGTGACGTGGTAATTAAGAAAAAATAAATAAAATAAATAAAATCTATTTTAATGTCCAACTCATTAATACCATAAAATAATAAAAATAAAAAATAATATTTATTTTTTTGGCGAAATCTGCTTTCATCCCGCATCGGGTCGGAGGACTCTACTGCCATTTCCAACCCGAGCTCTACAGGATGGAGGGCGTCAAGCTGGCGGCCGCGAAGTCTTGATCTCCAGCGGGCCAATTGACTTGTCGGACACCCTCCCCTGCCTGTAAACACTGTTCAACGACTCCTCCATGGTCTGGCAACAATCCTCGTAAACCGACAACGGGATTGTCGTCATCCCCTTCAAGCTCAGCTCCCAGACGTACAGCAAAAAGTCTCTCTCTCTAATTTTACCTTTTTCAAATTTACTCTCCCTTCTCTCTAAAAAGCCTCCTTTTCCAGCCTTCCATGGCTGCCGCCGGCTGCTTCCGGTGACCGGCGGCAGCCCATGTTTCTCCTTTTTATCGCTTTTCTTGCTTGCCTTGTTTTCGATCTTCTGGCCTTTGCTTCTAGGCTTTTCATCTTCATCATTTCAGTCTCTCCAGCCATTTTGACATTCCAGATCTAGGATTTTGCGGGTTCAAGGCTTGCTCGTTTGAGGATCTGGAGGTTGCAGCTTGGGAAGCTTGACCTTTGCTTTGTGATGGTTGTTCTTTCCAGGTTGGTGGTCTCATCTGCAAGGTGAAGCCATTCTCATCTTCCCCCCTCTGGCTTCCCCAAGGTGGTGTTGTTGCTTGGATAAGTTGTCGGATCGTGAAGAGGTGAGTCATCTCCGTTGGCTGAGGTGGAAGTCGGTTCTTTTGTGATGGTCTGTTGATCTTCTTGGAAGCTTGCTCCCCTTTGAATCGATCCTCTCTACCTCGGCCCCCTCTGCCTTCACAGCTTGGAGCAATCTGCATCACAGCCTCTTCCACCGTCAGGCAATCTCTTTTGAGATTCACTGTGATGGATGTCTTTGTGCACTCCCCAGGAGACGGCAAATGGCTTGCAAGTCCAATGCCATGGATCTCGCTGTGATCGGACAAGCTGTTCTGATCTTCTTGCTCTTGATTTGGTTGGAAGAAAGAGAGATTATAAATGCTCTGCCTTTGTCTCAAGAACTTGGATGTTTGTTTTGAGTGATGCCATTCTGTGTTGTGCTTCACTGGTTGTATTTTCTTAGCATGGTTTGGTATCATCCTGGGTTCCATTGTTTCCTTGATCTTGTTTTGAAGTCAAGTTTTTATTTTCTCTCTGTAACCAATTATTCAAAGTGCAATAAAGATCATTTGTCAAAAAAAAAAAAAAAAGCTCAGCTCCCAGTACAGCACGTAGTGCCCCGACACCGCCATCGTTGTGTTCGTGTAGCTCATGTACTCCGCCACGCTCCCGTCGAACGCTGCCTGATATGCGTCCACCGCGTTCTTCACCGCGCTCTGCAGCTCCACCTCGTCGGTCTTGTCTGCGTCGATGCTCAACACCACATTCTTCCTGCAAATGAAGTTGAACTGCAGCGCCTTGTTCTTGAACCCTGCAACTCGCATGTACCTGTACAACCCTGCAGCCACGATCGCGAACAAAAAAAATTAAGATCGAAAACAGAGCAAGAATAACTCAATTCCAAGAATTCTGATTTCCTCAAATTGGGAATTTTTTAGTACCAGCGTAAGTTGTGACGACGAGCTCGTACTCGTGGCCGAGCTTGACTCGACGAGGTCGACGAGCTCCTGCTGCTCCTTCTCGTTGAGGGATTTCTGCATGGAGATGGAATTGGAAACCCCATTGTTGTTGTTACGGTGAACCGGGAGGAACTCGAAGTAGGTCATGGTTGGAATTAAGGTGTACGCGACCTCACTCGATTTACAGAGCGAGTTTAGATTAACCCCAAAATAGCATTCGGAAGAAGCGTACATCCATCCTGGAATTAAGGTGTCGCAGCCGCCAGCTTGAAGCCCTCCATCCTGTAAAGCTCGGGATGGAAATGGTGGTAGAGTCCCATTCCGACTAGATGTGGGATGAAAGCAGCTTTCGCCCAAAAAATAAATATTTATTTATTTATTTATTTTATGATAAAAATGAGCTGGATATTAAAATAGATTAAATTTATTTTATTTATTATTTGCCACGTCACTAAGTTAACGGTCAACTTTGAGAGTTGACTGCCACATCAGCCAAAGTTAACAGAGTTGGATGGAGAGTGACCAAACGTGAACGATTTCAGTAAACTAAAGTACCATCAATAGATTTAAAAATATTTCGAGTGACCAAACTTGAACGCTTAGTGACGAACCATGCAATTAACCCCTTTATATTTTAACTCATTATGAAATATTCTCCCAAAATTGAAAGTGTACTATACATACGCGTTAGGCCAATATCCCAGATAATTTTCCTAAACCAAATGAGTTTTGGCTTTTCCTTCAAGTTGGATAACACTCATGTCGATGTTTTTTTACCTCTCCAGATCTCAGTGTTTTTGGTCGTTTTGCATCAATTAGTGTTTAAATCCACATTCTGCCTTCAATTGCTTCCTAGCATATATATGATCTCTATTAGGTGAAGGTGTGTATGTTTAACACGTATGAAAAAGACTATGGGCGCACATGTAGAAAATGGGGCATACATAGTTCGCGTGCAAAAAGAAGCAAATCATGGTCGGGAATATCCGACAGAGAACTAAAGATCATGTGACGAGCAAATCATGTACCGACAGATCAGAAGGTCTCGCAGTCTCACTCGTTGGTTTTTAGCTGAGACTGAGATAAAAGAGCGTTGTCGCAATAATGAGTTCATGGTCGGGATCACTAGCCCATGAACACCCTGCGCGAACAGGACAAGACGATGTCGCTTGAAGATCGTGTGACAATCTTTGAGGTCACGACCGTGAACTTTCTCAAAAACGATCGTGAACTCGTTCAGATATCTATCTTCTATAAGTAGAAGGTGACTCCAAAAGGATTCTGAGAGGCTAGCATGAGAGAATGCACACATTTGTTAGAGAGAGGAGTGTTCCTTCTATTTGAAGAAGCAAGAGTATAGAAGAAGAGTAGAGGAGTAAGGAGGAGAGAATTAAAGCTAGTTCCCAACACCCAAAAGTTACCCTCTAATCATGAGATAGTTTCTCATCCCCCCCCCCCCCCCCCCCCCCCCCCCCCCCCCAGGGATAGTTTCTTAAGAAGGTATTTGGGGATAAATCCTCAAATCCTAACTAGAGTTTTGTTGTATTGAATGATTTAGCTAATCTATGGTATGAGTTTTGTTAAATTGATGTTTTGACGCTTTGTTGCATGAATTGATTACATGTGATTGTTAATTAATTGCATGTGTTGATTGGGTGTGATGATCAAGTATGGCCTTGATCTAGATTAGATTATCATTCACTTAGGTCAAGTAGGAACTTACTCAATTGATGCTATTTGGATGGTTGCATGATCATTGAGTCATTAGATTTGTGTGCTTATGGGCTAAACTCATTTAAAGAGAATATGAGTTACCCCTACCTAAGGAAGCCAATTGCATGTTCATTGAGTTGGTAGGTATAGTTAGGAGGGAAATTGGGAGACATGATGATTGCACCAACGCCCATATTAATGATCATCGCATCAAAACGTACCATAGATAGCTATTACTATCCATTACATTATATAACCTAAAGTAAGGAGGAGGGAACCGAACCACAGATATTGCTTCTTGTCTCCCGCAATTTGTGTAACTTTAGCTAATATACTGCAAAACAACTTAATGATGAACTAGATAACAATTAAACTCGTAAGTAACATAGTCTATCAGATCTATTAGATCACCTTAGTCGCCACTATACTACTTCGTTTGAATAGATTATACTTGACCTACTTACTATAGTAGAATAGAAAGTACTGTGTTTATCAGTCGTATGTGAACTGATAGGATTACAACCAGAGTTAACCAAATAAAATTTCGAGAATAAGAAGATGGTCCATAGATGGATAAAGCTAAAGAAGAAAACCCAGAAGCTTATCTCTTCGCTGTTATAGTGCTAAAATAGTAGCAATAAGACAAATATTGACTCAGAAATTGGTACAGTTGGTCGACACTAAAGTATGCCTCTGCTGTATATGCTTCAGAAACACCATTCAGCAATCACCAAACACATAGTCAGAACTCGGAAGGAAGAAGAAGAACCCTCAGAGGCCGGAGTTGACTACCAATGACAGTGCTCCACGTGTCGTTCGCAGCAAGGCTTTCCTCGAATATCACTAACGGCTATGTCCTCTGCTTTCCCGCCTCCCAGAGTTGCAGAGTTGAGACTTCGCAGAGAAAGAAAAAAAGGTTAAAGAAAATCTCCCTCTCCAAAAATTACTTTCACTCTCCCAGAACAAGCCAATTCTTGATTCATCTTTCTCCGAAAAGAACCCAACTTTAGGCTTTCAGCCATGACCAAGATTGACGCTCTCCGTCGATTCCTCCTCCCCTGCTTCTCCTCTGCCACCGCCGCCTCAGCCGCCGCCGCTCCCCACCACACTACCAAGAAGCGGATCAGCACTTCTCTCCGCGACGACCTCCCGGACGACGCCGTATCCTCCAAGAAGGATCCCCAAGACGACGATGACCAGCAAGACCCGGATTCCTCCACATCCACCGATCAGAGCGCCAGCCTGGCGCCATCTCGGCCGTCCAAGACCATGGTGATCGGAACCATATTCGGCAACCGCCGCGGCCACGTGTGGCTCTGTTTCCAGCACGACCGCCTGGCCACGAAGCCGCTGTTGCTCCTCGAGCTCTCCGTCCCGACGCACCAGCTCGTCAAGGAGATGAAATTCGGGCTCGTCCGGATCGCCCTGGAGTGCACCCGACCCGAGTTCCGCTCCTGCCCGCTCCGCTCCGTGCCAGTGTGGACGATGAATTGCAACGGTAAAAAGCTAGGGTTCGCAGCGAGGAGGAAAGTGAGCGAGCGCAATCGGCAGATGCTCAAGACGATGCAGTCTACGACGGTCGGGGCGGGAGTGATTCCGGCCGGAGTCGGGTCGCCGGAGGAGGTGATGTACATGAGGGCGAATTATGAGCATGTGGTGGGCAGCGCTAACTCGGAGTCGTTTCATTTGATTAACCCGGACGAGTGGGAGGGTCAAGAACTGGGCGTGTTCTTGATCAGGAGCTGCTGACAAATGAAGTCGGCGCCCATTTCTTAAGTTATTACTACTGCTGCTACTTCACTGGGAGAAGAAGAGAAAACTGGGTTCGTTTTCTTGGTTTCTGGGTAGGAAAAAATGAGGATTCTTTGTCAAGAATATTTGGAGGAGGATTGAAAGAGGGGGAAAATAGAGCTGTGATCTTGGTAGAAGGAGCTTCCTTCAATCTTTATGTATATGTTTCCGTCTTGCTGGCTGGCTGGCTGGAATTTCTTACTTCCTGCCTTCCTTCTGGGTTTTGATTTGAAGAACTTGCTAGTTTAACCAGATTGTGTAAGGGAAGCTGGTTTTGTTTCTTTTGTTGTTCGGTCAAAAGAGGGCTACCAGAATCAATGAGTGGCACCAGTTTGAGAAGATTGTGCGTCCACAGAATGGTGGGATTTCCTAGCAGAAGCAGAACTTCCAAGAAGGGAGAACTACTATCTGGAGGTCTTGTCAATTGGTCATGGTCATGGTGATGGACCCACTTTAGTGGCCGAAGGATTCAACACATGTTCCCAGTGCCAAAATTGCCATAACTTGTGGTTTGAACTCTTTTCTGGGGCAGGGAATGGAATCCAGACAATTTCAAGGCTTCCTTCAAACACCAGATATTTCCTTTTGTTACTGCAAGTGCGTTGATTTGAGCAGCTAGCTTCTGCAGTTGCAATCAAAAAGTGCAGAAGTCATAGTAGCCAGCCTACAACTTTCCAGGTGGTAATGTTGGAAGAGAGACATGCCAGAGGAGATGCAAGGGCGTGTACTGGAACTACCATACCAGACTCATGAGGTTTCTGATGGTCACTCCATTGCTCATTATATCAAACAGGTGAATTTTCGTATCACTCTCACGTTAGAAACTCCTTTTGGTCTTTTTCATTTCAAATGACAGTATTAGATTCTGGGGTACACGTCTACAGTCAAATTCTATGGGGAAGCGATGCCTAAATGGAATGGTACCTAGCTTTTGGTGGGGAACCAATTTTCTGATTAATAGATTGCAAAAGGGATCTGCTTTATGTCGTTACTAGAATCTTATATCTCTTGGATGGATGGAGGGTAAGTAAGGTAAATGATTTAGGGGTCACATTTAAGTTAGAAAACCCATAGAGCCTTACCCTTTTGTAATGTGAATTCTGTACCAAAACTAGTGTTACTACCCCTATCCACTCGTTAAATTTTACTTATGGAATAGGGAATTGCTATGAGCTTATAGTTATACACTCCCTTTTTGGCAAGGAGAATGATGATAGAGAAAACCCATCTCAGTTTCCATGGGAAAAATGGAACTTGTTTATTTCTCAATCGAGCCATGTCATTGAAAGTGATCTTTTCAAAAGTTACTTTCTGCCCATAAACTGATCTCGATTCCATGTGATTAATGGTTAGGGTTCCCTGGGTTGCAATTGTTGCTACTGTGCTGGAACTTTTACTTCATAGAGTTCAGAATAATAAGATCGTGGAATAAGCTTCTGAATGAATAATGCTTTCAACTGATCTCTTTGTTTATTTGAATATGCTTTTTACTGGCTAGTGGGTCAAGAATCATGCATCAAAACCTTTAGACATTAGCGTTTAAGCAAAACCATGCAGCAAAGCTACTCCCAGACCTCGGAGACTGCTGCTACTGTTGCAGTATTTACCATGAAGTCTCCCTGGCAGTTCAATTATTTATTTATTTTGAATTCTGAGTTAGTTTGTTTCATTTCTGGTTTTAAAGCTTTGGGGTTTATGGAACAGAAATTTGATGAAGACTGTGGAGGGGCATGGCACTGTGTGGTTGGCAAAGAGTTTGGCTTCTGCATCGCTCACCTATGTGGAACTTTCATCTTCTTTGGGGTGGAGATGATGGAGTTTCTCATCTTCAAGGATGGCAACGACTTCAGCCTCACCAAGGAAGAAGCTGCTGCAACTGCAAGACTCCAGCAAAAAAGAGCAACGACTGATAATAGATTTGTATAAATATCTCATTTTGTATGCAAATAAATTCTGAACCGTGTTCCTGTCGAGAATGTTTGTTTCTTCTCATGAACCATTCAAAATGGAATATATCAAACATGTAGATCACTTGTTTTCTTCACATTTACAGAAGTTCAGATGAACTATTAGAATGGACTAAATAAACACAGGAAGGAATGACATAGTTTCAACTCTTTCAAGTATGAGAAGAAGGCACAGTGTACATGCCAATTAGATCATCATGATCTTTGCTGGATAGTCAAAGGAATGAAATAATGAAACAAGTGGAACGTAACATGGGATCATCATGATCTTTCATTGATGCTCTACCAGAAATGGAAGATATTTTACCTGAAAGGAAGGAAGAAGGGTTGGTATTGTGAATGACAGAATGAGTAAGGAGGAGGTAATCTGCATCCCGAGGATTAGAGCCGAAATGTGAAACGGCAATCCAAACCTCAGGATGCAGATTACCCAATCCTGACCCAAATATTGATGCGAGACAAAAACCGACATAGTAGCTCTCTAATATCTCTGTAGGGGACTTTCAGCAGAAGCTCCTACACTGGTAGTGATGATGTGCATTGATGATTTAGGGGGGAGGAAACTTATAGGGGGAGCTCAGAAAGCAAAGCTAGATATTTATTCAATGGAATTGAAATGGGTTTTGAGTTTGGAAAAGGAGGAGGGGGAGGCATATAAGATAAAGCAGATTATGATAAGGTGCTGGATGTTGGAACCCTCAAATGATTCTGATGGGTTCCTCTCTGAGCCAATCATCATCTTGATACCTCAAACTTTCTTTGGACAATGATGGTTCTCATTTGACTGCTTTTCCCTAAACACCGAGACAGGCAGATCTTTTCTCCGCCTGCTTGCTTGTAATAAAACGATTCCTTTCAAATCATTGCTCAGTTAGAAAGAAAAGGGAAAACGCCTGAAGTGGATGCAACCCACATCCGGAGGAACCTGACAGAGCAAAGGTGAAGCCTTGGGAGGGACAAGCGGTATAAACTGAATAATATGAAAGCCCTTCAAGTTGTTCATATATATAATAGTATGATGTTCTTGTTCTGGATTCTCTAGCGCCAGAAGGTAGAAGTGACGGATGAGGACAGGGTGGCGCCATTTGTCTGGTTTTTTGTGAAAAAGCTGAGTCCGGTTCTCCAACAGTAATGCTATATATTCGACTCCATCCGGCTCTATTTCTCCAACTTGGAACTTGTCTTGTTGGGGTAAGTAATGCAGCAGGTCATTGGCTCATTGCTAGTTAAACCACAATCAGCGTTGGTTTAACTAATAAAGTAATAATTGTCATTACTTAACTGATTAATAGTTAAGAACTGGACCTTCAATAAAGTTAACGGTAAAATACATTCCCAATTTGGTTACATATCTAACTTGAAAATGGATGAAAAAACGTCATCACGTCGACTCTCCCATCAGACCCATCCCCAATTATTAATTGTGAATTGGGGCTTAAACCAATTAAGTTATTTGGTTAATATTGGTTGGGAGTTATACTATTGCTCAGTTTAGGAGCATTCATTCTCGGCATATACGTGATATGATGAGGACTTCACAACTAATATGAGGGCCTTTTCAGAGTTCATAGCATCAATTTGGAAAATCATTTTGCACATCAATTCGGAAGAAAGACTTATTTATTGCCTTTCATTTCATTCAACGCATGTTGTCACTATCATGAACATGAGTCAATGAGGGACATGGCCCTCTCGTAAGAGTCATGGCACAAGAATAATAAACCATGGCTCTCAAGTCCTGTATAAAAAAACTAAGTATGGATGGGCCAAGGCTGTCTAGAGGTCCACGCCATCTCACGAGAGGGACCATGGACGCGAGGAAGAAGTCTCGGCCGCGAGTCACATCGTCCATGGTCATGATGAAAGCACATGGCATTGCTACAAATCAAGAGCCCATGCCACGAGAAGCATATATCAAGGAAAGACCAAAAGAAATTACTATGTCTAAGAGGTATATGTCGTCTCACGAGAATGGCCATGGATGCAAGACAAGTGTCTTGGGTACGATTGAAAAATACTAAGTATGAGAAGGTCATGTCGTGTCACGGGAAATGCCAGAAACAAGACCGAGAAGTACATAGCCATTAATGAAGAGGCCATGCCACGAGATCAAGCCTCATGACCAAGATTAAGCGCCCAAAAATATACTAAGTCTAGGAAGGAAATGGATGTGTCTTGAGAGGGACCATGGGCAAGAGTGAGAAGGGAGTGATGGTGGAGCATTATATCACCTAGTAATTCGACTTAGTCCCATGTGGTCCATGATCGCGAGACAAGAGGGCCATGGACATGAGGAAGAAGTATGTGGCTGCGAGGCAAGAGGACCACGGCCCCCTAACACTACAGGACCATCAAAAGACTCGCATCGCACGAGATATGGAACAAGATCATACGACAAGCTACACTTCAAGACCCAGGACAGTTTCAAGAGAGGTACTGAGGCAAGTGAGAGATAATATGCTACTCGTCCCACCTTCAAGAGTCACGTCAGCCACATTCCAAGGAAGAAGGGAGTAGTTCTTTTTGGGAGTTATCCGTGGAATTCTCTATGATAGTTATCTGCCCCTGGCTATAAATAGGAGGAAGGGTCGACGAAGAGAGGGGTTCCCAAAACCACACATTTGACGCCTACATCAAGTTTTTATCGTTTCTCTGCAAATGTGGTCATAGTCGTAGTTTGGAGATCTCGTTGAACCTCCATAGGAGTAGGAGTAACTTAATTTAGATTTTGATACAAAAAATTATCAATCAAACACCCTCGTTCGATCTTTGTTTGAAAAGGTGTGATCCGTGTTTATAAATTGTTTGGTAAGAAGTCAAAGGTGTGATCAGTTATGTTCAACGCAAGTTTTCTCGCCGGATAACAAAAATGATGCCACTGTCAAGAATGTAGAGCATGATCTCATAAGGGAAAAAATCACACTGTACACATGTTCTTAAAAGAATTCCCAAAATACATAAGTTATAAATTTTTTTTCAAAACTACACATGTTTCTCATTCACCGTTTTTGACAAACGCAGTGAAGATTATCACCGCGTTTGACAAACACGGTGAATTTTTCTCCGTTTTAAACAAAAACGGTGAAGTATTCACCGTCTTTATCTAAAACGGTGATATATTCAGCGCTTTAAACTAAAACGGTGAAGATATCACCGTTCTAATTGAAAACGGTGAATATATCACCATTTTAGGGCGACACGGTGAATACCTTCACCGTTCTAGGTTAAAATGGTGAGTATTTCCCACGTTTCCAACCCCTGGTAGGTGAAAATTAGGTAACAGCTACCTAATGTTCAACGTTTGAGACAAACGCGGTGATGCTGTTCACCGTGTTTGACCAAAACGGTGAATTGTAGGCAGATTTTCCTATAAATACCACGCCACCAGCAATTGTAAAAACATAACCACTCCCCCCTCTTCAAATTCCAGCAATCAAAACCGAGCATAATACACAGAACAGGAATTTTCGGTATGATTTAATTTCCGTATTATAGCTTAATGATGGGTTTTTAGTAGATTTAATTTTTGTTTTTGAATTACTTATCGTAGCAATTGTAGTACTTAATTTTGAATTTATGTTGTTGTTAGTTAGTTGTATTTATGTTACATTAGTTATGAGATGAAGTAATATTAGTCGTACAATATGGTTTTGGTTAATTTTATTGTCTTTAAGCTAATAGTTTAACTTATTGTAAATTGTAGATATGGGTAAATTCAAGAAGTTTCGGCTTATTATTCGGTGGAATGGAAGGGTGACAAACTCTGACATAGGGATTGATTATGAGAACGGTGAATCCACTATGCTGAAAATTGAGTCGCGATTCAATTTTCAAGAACTCCGTGATATTTGTGCAGACAGGGTTTGTACGAGCGGACAGACGAGACTTGGAAAAATTAGTTACCGGTATCCAGACATGAGTGCTAGCGGGGTTGTGTACCAAGAAGTTGTCATAAACGATGATGACGCGGTTACGATGATGTTACAGTTCCTAAGCGATAACGGGATGCGGCTTGCAGAGGTGTATGTTGAGACCGAGGCGGTCTGTGAAACTCATTCTCACCAGTATTCTTATGATGATGGTTTTGCAGGAGGGTACGGATGGGGTGGTAGTTCGAGCAACTACGAAAGAGGTGGTTATACAGGAGGTTATGGAGAGGGTGGTAGTTCAATCAACTACGGTGGAGGTAGTAGTGCAGGATGGGTGCCATCGGAAGAATACTCGCAACAGGATCAACCAGCCCCATTTGTTGAGGCCGATGGTGTTCAATGGCCTGCTTAGGGGCCAGAGTGGTCTGAAATCGAGAATACCATTCGATACTTCACATGAGCGAGAAGACGATGTTGGTGATGGTTGTCATGTTAATCCTTCTGGCCCCAGCTATCCATTCGACTCAAGCGACAAGGATACTCAGGAAGATTTGAGATAAGTGAGCGAGGAGGAAGATACAGATTATAACGACGACGAGGCGACATTTCGTGAGGCACTCACACCATACTACACTCAGGTTCCAACTCAATTTCTACATAGTCATAATGATGCCCCCGACTTTGTCCCTATGACAGTGTATAATCCGACGACCAATTTGGAAGTGGGTATGACATTCTCATCGAAGGACGCTGTGCAGGATGCCTTTACCGAAGAGGCCTTGATGCGCAATTTCGAGTGGAAGGTAAAATATTCTGACAGTAAACAATTACATGTCATATGCAAGAATGATGCAGGTGGCTGTACGTGGCAACTGCTGGCTGCAAATATGAAAAGAAAGGGTGCCTGGGTGATTCGAAAAGCCGAGACCAACCACACTTGCTCCTCGTCCATACGTTCCCAGGATCACACGCAACTTAAAGCAAAGAAAATTGGGAGAACTATTAAACACCTTATCGAAGCACAACCAGATATCAAGGTCAAAGCTATCATGGCCGAGGTGAAGGATCGACATTCTTACACGATAAGGTACAAAAAAGCATGGCATGGAAAGCAGAAAGCCATGACTGAGGTGTATGGTGATTGGGAGGATTCGTATGCTTTACTCCCTAGACTTATGGCCGCAATGGAGGAGTCCAACCCTGGGACTGTTTTCGTGCAAGTATACAACAATATATACACTGAGGATCAAGTTCGAGTACAGGAGAAGTTGATGTTTACCGTATTTTTTGGGCTTTCAAACCATGCATTGACGGGTTTGCGTTCTGCATACCGGTTATTCAGGTATTGTAATACATGTTTACTATTTAAAATGTTTCTATTCTTGCCGACCAAGTAAATTTCATACTAATTACTTCCTAATATTTAATTAGGTTGATGGAACCTTCCTCACTGGGAAGTACAGAGGAACTCTTCTCATTGCCACTGGCGTTGATGGAAACAGGCGGATTTTCCCACTTGCATTTGCAATAGTGGAAGGGGAGAACAACTTAAGTTGGGCATGGTTCTTTGACCAACTACACGAACACGTGACACAGCGGGAGGGTATTACGATTATATCTGATCGACACGTGGGGATTAGGAATGCCGTGGGTGGGTTTCCTGACGAGTGGGGATGGACATGGCGCTGGTGTATTCGACACTAGCTCGCCAATTTCC